TTGCTTCTCTTGGCATAAAGTTGATTCGATCTGAGTCTGGATAAAACCTACTTAAGGTCTTGAATATGTTGGTTCCAGTTAGTGCTGTAGGGTGTCATCAAAAAACACTAAAACTGTTTTCCTTAATAAATCTCGGAAAATGTGATTCATTAGGGACTGGAATGTAGTTGGGGCATTACACAACCCGAAGGGCATTACAAGGAACTCATAATGGCCATTATGAGTCCTAAATGCTGTCAAATACCTATGTTCAAGGGTCATTAAGATCTGGAAATAACCTGAACGCAAATTGATCTTGGAAAACAACTTAGCCCCATTTAATTAATCAAGAAGCTCATCAATAATTGGTATAGGGTAATCATGTTTAATAGTAATGCTGTTAAGATACCCGTAGTCCACACACATTCTCCAACTCCCGTCTTTTTTCTTTACCAATAAAACTGGAGAAGAGAAAGGACTCTTGCTTGGTTTAATTTCTCCAGTTTTTAATAGTTATGTCATAATCCTCTCCACCTCGGCCTTCTGGTTGTGTGATGTTCTATGCCTCTCTGTGGAGGTAAGGATTGAGGTTCTTTAAATATATCTTCATATTCGTAATTCTTCCAGGAGTTCTTCTAACTCAGGAGGATTAACAGAATAGGTTTCCTTTCCCTTGATCCAATAAATCTCTTCAATTGGTTTTGGTTTCTCCTCATAGAGCATTTTATAAAGAGTGTGACAGGTAATAATGGGACACTTCTCTTCACACTGTATCTCCACTTGTTTTTCATCAAGAGTAACTGTAACACTCATCTTCTTATAATCAAACTGAACTGAAGTCAAATCCCTCAACCAATCTCCCCCTAAAATCAGATCAAACTCAGTGGAACCAATCACTCTAAATGAGTATTGGAATGTGTGTTGATGTATAGCCCATTTGAAATTGTTCACCTGTAATGTGCTGACCAATTTGTGCCCTCCTGCAGCAGAGTAATTCTCAGAGGAGTAGCTTCAACCAGCTCTCAGCCTAATTTCTGGGATACAAATTTGCTCATGAAGCTAAGTGATGCCCCTGATTCAATCAATATATGCATGCTATGTTTTCCAGCCCTTCCTTTAAGAGTCATTGTGGTGGGTCCCTTCTTGCAGGTTGCCGTGTCTAAAGTTAACGGAACTTCTTCTATTGCCTCCTCCTGAATGTTCTCCATACTCTGTTTTTCGGAATTTTCTGATTCTGGTGGGCCCGGTTCATCTTCAGTCAATAGAACAAACACTTGCCTTTGTTTACACCTATGCGGTGGCTATGCCCTGATGACAGTTAAAACACAACCCCTTCTCCTTTCTTGCAGCCATTTCAGACTGGGTAAGAAGTTTGAAGGGAGGTTGGGTAGTAGCAGAATTGACCCTTGATTGAGTAGTGACAGGAGTGATGTTGTCTGGCTTCTTAGCACTCAAGTTACTGCCATACAGAGGTTTTCCCCTGCCTTGAGACTTTTTGTCAGTGACTCAATAGTGAGCTGATTTTTGACTAGTTCAATAGTTGCATGTAATGTAGAGGGGTTAAACGTCTTAACAAATGCTTTTAATTCATTAGTGAGCCCGCTTATGAAACTGGATATAAAATAATGTTCTGTTAATGCTCCCTTATGTATCATCTGCATACATGATTTTAATTCTTCAAACTTGTCTACATATAATTCATAATCTGATCCCATCCTAAGCTTGTTGAATTCCTCAATAACAGTTGACGCCTTAAGCCCCTCAAATCTGGCAAATACCACCCCCATGAACTGTTCCCAGGTAAGCATAGTTAGGTCCTTGTCCAAATACTGATACTAGATCAGTGTTTTACCCTCGAAGCGCATAATGGCCAATATGATCCTTTGTTCCGTAGATAAGTGTGGAAGAAGTTTAAAATAACCATGACATTTCACTATCCATGATCGCAGGTTGGTTCCATCGAATCTGGGAAAATCAACCTTGGGGAGGGGTGCTTTCGTAAGGTAGAGTTACATGTAGCTTCATTGTTCTTATTTCTCTGTTGAGGTCTGCCTATTGATAAATGTTGCGGGTTGAGATTAATAGGTGGTTCTCCCAGTATTGATTCCACTTCTGTTACTGGATCATGATCACGGTTGGGGGGCATTGAGCTGGACTGTGCTGGAGGTGAGTTATTCTGCGTTGGTTCAGATCTTAACTTTACCATTTCCATCTTCTTCTGTATAATCTCCGGTTGTTTGAGAATTTCATGTTGAATCTCTTGATTCCTAAGCCGAATTTCCCCATTTTTTTGCTCAGCCGCTTCTCTCTTCAAAGTTTCCGCCAATAGGGATTGCTCCAGTCGTTTCTGCCCCTCCAAGCATTCCTTAAGGCGTGTCCCCTCTGCCATCTTCATGGATCGTGGCAGCTCTGATACTTAATGTGGTGATCTGGGTAATTCCGAAATATCTGGAAGAAGATCAGAAAGAGGACAAGGATGAATCAGGGAAAAGAGGGAGAGTTTAAGAGGGGGAAATTGTATAACATATTGCTTGTCTCTCTTTGTCCATACATTCAGTATTTAAATTGTATAACATAACTAAGGCCCATTACATTTAGGTGGAAAACATATACGTAGTATATATAAAGGTATTGAAATAACGCCCATTTAATAATTAAGCCCATCTTTTGACCGCCACTTCTGCTCACTTCAAATGTATTGAACAGTTCCCAATTCTTTTTCGATGGATAACGAGAGTGACTCCATTCCCAGTGTATCATTATCTGTCCAGTACAATCGCCCCTCCCCATCAACTAGCTGATGTATGACATTGTATCTGCTCATAATAACGACAACATCCTTGATTAGGATGAGACCCGAACATGCGACCTCTTCTTTGGGAGATATATTACATCTTTTTTGTATAGTTGAATGTTATAAATAATTATCACACCCACATACAAGAACTTTCATATACTTTGTGTTGAGATATTAGACCTCTGACCTATTAATGTTTTGGGAGCCTAATATACTAGTCTGACGAAGTCCAACGTGTTCGGCCCAATTTGGCCCATTAGTATACCCCCTCCCCCCTTTCCCTATAAATAGGAGGACTTCCCTCCTGAAAAGGGGCGCCTCTCCCCCCTTTTGATCCTTCTTCTTCCTTTAGCTTAGAGAGGCTTGGACTCCATTAATGGCTTTCCAAAGTTTTATACTTGTACAATATAAATATGGTGAGAGATATTAATAAAAAGATAGTATGCTTGGATTTACCTTGAAAAGTATCATGATTTTCAACCTTTCGAGTTTCCACATAAAAATCATGTGTTTGAGTTAACCTCAACATATGTATGTACTATCTTTTCATACATAGTTCTTGAGCTATGATTAACCTCAACACTATATATATATATATATATATATATATATATATATATATATATATATATACACAGAAAAGTTTAGGTCCGAATGTTAGGACAGAACCCTCTGTCCGAACATCCCCGTTTGGGGCCCTTCCCGGTGGAATTTTTTGATGAATTTTTTTGAGCATGTTCCTCATCAAGTCTAGTTTGTCCATACTAAATTTCAGCTCAAACTTCAATCGAGAAGGCATTCAAATAATTTTTTGAAGTTGACTGCGTTTTTATATGTACATTTTGACGCAGTCAACTTCAAAAAATGATTTCAATGCCTTCCCGGTGGAGTTTTGAGCTGAAATTTGGTATGAACAAACTAGACTTGATGAGGAACATGCTCAAAACATTTCATCAAAAAATTCCACCGGGAAGGGCCCCAAATGGCCATGTTCGGACGGCGTTCGGACAAAAACGTGCTGTACTGGATCATTTCTCATATATATATACTATCTTTTCATATATGGTTATTAGACTTTAAAGCCTACTCATGCCTACAAAACTTTGCTTCTCATACCTGCAAATTTAGTTTCCATATGTATTGCCCTGATATTGTCACTATGGAATAACTAAAACATAGCGAATATACGTCATATATGATTCAAATATCGTGCACTTAAAGAAGCACAATTTCTCTCTCTAGAACCCGAGGGGGGGGGGGTGGCGGCGTGTTTTGCCTCTTCTCATCTGATTAAGCAACGACAAAGAGGACATGAAGCACACATATGGCCAGGGTTTCGGCTCCATATCAGGGCTGTGACAAATAGCAGGTAACGGATGCCATGACTTGATCTTAACGGATGCCATGACTTGATCTAGATGACATCAGCTTTTGAAGATTCTTGGTAGGGGTATGATCCAACTGGACTGTTCTTCTTTTCCGCTTGTGTTTGTTCGATGCTATGGCGAATCTTTTCCGGACACTGGCGCTTCAGGTTGTTTTGTCTCCTTCAGTGTGGGGAGTTATTTTGGTGTTCCGGCCAGCTTTGTATGGTCAAGTGGTTCCATCTACCTTTTGGGTTGCGTAGAAAATGGTAGAGCTCATCCTCATCAAGAACCACCTCCGTGACAGAAAGAGTTTGGTGACATGACTTTATTTAATTTTATTTTTCCTTGAGTAGTACTTATTTTTATTGTTACTTCGAGTATGTTTGGTTTATTTGGATTTCAGGAGTACTTTTTATAGGCAGTATTTCAATTGCAATTGTTTTAGGCTTAAATTTATTTGTTTTGTGTCTAGCGCGTCAAGTTGCTTTGTATGAGGTAACCGATTCAATGTCTATTCCTAGGATTTACGACCGGCTCTGTCATGACCGTCTAAATGATGTTTTGTATTATTTCTTGTTATTATTATAAAAAAAACTGTTTTTCATAATAAAAAAACTATCACACTTAATATGATATTCTTACAATTTAAAAAAATATTGTGATTGAACCTATGTAGCATGGAAACTCTCAAGAAAGAGTATGTTTCCGTTTTGGAAACTCTCCAAATAAGCATTTTTTGAGCAAAAGTTCGCGTTTTTGTGCAGCATAGGATTGAACTATTGAATTAAAAAAAATCTCCAATTCAGCTATAGTAATTGCGAGGCTTCCATCTTGACATTAAAACCCTTGAGAACACTTAGAAAAATGATTTATTCTATTCAACTGTGAAAGACGGTTGTACAAATCTCCCCCTCTGGCTTATGGGGCATTTCAGCATACAAGTTGAAATAAACACTAGCATTTCTGATTTCCCGATGTAAAGTGTAAACTGTGAATCTGAAATGAAGAGACTTATCATATCTAAATAAATGGGGGATGGGGGCACTTAGTAGTTTTATTTTCTCTATTCTACCGCTCATTGATATTGCAGATTTTAAGGTACGGATTGCTGTTTATGACATGCCTAGACCAGTAAGTTCTGTACTTGGTGATGGCTAGATCCAGCCAGGGTTTATAATTTCCATTGTAGTGGACAACAGCCGCATTCTCAATCTCGGTTTTGTTAAGCGCCGGATCATAGCCAAGCCCCAACACGTGCCACTTCCGGTCCAGTGGATGAGTCATGTTATAAAAAGTGATCAGCCCAGGAGGCAATGTCCCGAGTTTCCAAAGCGTTCGCTCCTCATTCTGCAAAACCCCAATTTTTCCATCAAGTCTAAGAGGCGTGCAAGTAAACAAACAAACGTAACATACATAGCACAGAAACGCGAAACACAAAAACCAAGGAATGAGATTTCAAAAAATATACTCTGTATAAGAGACGAAATGTGGGGGAAACGTGTAAATATTGAATAGTACTCGTATGAATTTATACATTTACTTTTCCCCACATATGTATACCTATTTTTCCATTTGTAAATATCCATGTATTATTTTTTATATAACTTTGTTTGATGATCAATAATAAATACATTCTGCATGTTTAAATTTTGAAACTATTACATATTAGTACATAATTAAATATAAAATGCAATACATTTCTAGTAATGCATTGTGTTAAAAAATATATCAATGTTGCTAGGAAGAAAACAAATAAAGGTTGGAACTTTTGTAGGACACTATTTTCCATCAGATAATCCCATCAAAATGAGAAAAAAGATGGAAACCAGAAGAGTCCAAGATTTGAGTTATTTATTGAAACATTCCCAACTCTACGCAAACTGTCCCAGAACAGGAATTTGAAACTTCTTAGTTCCCAAAACACGCCCGAGTTTCTGCAATGGGCAGATGTGGGCCGCAGGGAAGAGTTTTTACTAAAGATAAAGATGCAATGCCTTTCTCATCCCCCTTCTATCCATGCACATGATTAAACTAAGTTGATTTCGGGAGTATTTGCGATTGCTTCTACTTTAAAAAAATGATTTTGGAGAAAGTCTTAATGGTAAAAATTGGTAGTGCTTGAGTAAAAAGTGCACCTGAAAAAGTAAAAATTGGTAGTGTTTGGTAAAATAAGTGCTTTTTGTGTAATAGAGAAGGTGAAAAACAGTTTAAAACACCCTTCAACCTTGCTTCCAGCTTTTGGCTTTTATGTGCTTGATTTAAATAGAATCTAACGCTTGAAAACACCCATTTCAATTGTTTTTAAGCTAAAAGCTGAAAACACTTTTTTTTAATTTTTTGCAAACGCCCCCTCATCCGCTAAGGTATTGTTGTGTGACTGAGAGGTTACAGGTTCAAGTTTTGGGAATGGCCATTACCAAAATGATAAGGGAAAATTGTCCCAAATACACCCGTGTGGTAACATGCTGCCTGGACCTTCGCATTGCAGATATGCTGATGTGCATTAGGCTGCCCTTGTTTAGTTTTCATCAACCAAATTCATTTTTCTTTTTGTCTCCTTAACTTGGCTCACCTTTTTTGCATCTTCATCCCATTTCTGTCATGTATTGCCTCTGTCCCAGCTTAAGCTTCTCATTGAAAAATGACATAATTATTTAGACAATAGTAATTCGAGAATATTTTCAAAAGTAATTTTGATTAGTACTACCTCCGTCCCAGTAGATTTTGCCAAGTGCAAAGTAGGTGAGAAATAAGAATTGTAAAAACTGTGTGGTTGAAATTTGTGCAGAGGAGAGAGAAATGTGTAGAACCACAAATTAGTTGCTTTAATAGGAAAGTGGCAAACTTTTTTGGGACAATAAAAAAGGAAAAGTTGGCAAAGTCCAATGGGACGGAGGGAGTATATAACATAATGAGTCATTGATGATAACTATGATGTTATGTGTATTATTCTTAATATTTGATGATTAGTTTGTCATTTAAGAGTGTTAATTATTTCCTAAAACAGAAATGAGAAGCTTTAGCCAAGACGTCCAAAAAAGAGAAGTGGGAAGCTTAAGCTGAGACAAAGAGAGTATTAGAATTCCTCCTTGACTCTCCAAAATCAAACCTCTAGCCTTGTATTAGTTTAACACTAAATGCAACAACCCATTTCTCCCCGGTGTAAAAAAGCATTTGGGTAAGATGTTAATATGGGCAAATGTGGAAGCCTAGTCAAGTGCTATGCTTTGAATTATTAAAACTACAATAATTTGGGACAGGGAAATATATTTATGTCGTGTGGATGCCCTGCTAGGAAGATGGAGGGATTCAAGAAATGATCTTGACTTACCATGTCTTGCCAACGATGGTATATTCCTGTGATGTTCCGCCTTCTCCACTCCATCAAATCAAACAAATTCATGCCAAAAGCCCATCCACAAGCATTCGGATCAAAATTCTCAGAGATCTTTGGGTTTGAGAAGTTCAGATATTTATCAAACCTATGGAAGCTCTCCTTGCATGTCTCTACAGCACCATTAACCATACCTCCTAAATTTATAGACCAGAGTGGGGTCAAATCCTTTTGAACAACAATATCGTCATCAAGAAACAAGATCTTATTCAACTTTGGATAAATTTCAGGGAGGTAAAACCGCAGATGATTCAGCATCGACAAATATTTAGGGTTTCTGTACTTCAGATTGTCAGTCCCAGAAGAGAGGGAAGCAGTGTGGTGCGCCTTGAAGTAATACTCTATCATTCTTGCAGATTCAAGCTGACGTAAAACGGGGCAGTAAGATGTATTAAGCCACGTGAAATTGTCTATACTCTCAACCTGAACTGTTGAACCTGCAGGAGGATTGGCAATGAACCACATTTTCATAGCTGCAAAGTTCAGTTTATCTGTTACCACATGGAAAACGTGCATTTCGGGCTCCTTTGTGTGAAGCACTGTTGAGTTTATTACGACAGATGTTGCAAGTACATTATCAGAAAAGATGGCATAATGGTAAAGTAATGGATTTTCAAGTTTTTCCTTATTAGAAAATTCTATGCCTTCATAACCACGAAGATGATAGTCCATTGTTAGAAGCAACGCAAGGCAGTGCAATGGCCTGGGGACAGTTTTAGCAGCTAGCTGTATCAAGAATGCACTTTTTTTCTTCAACTGATTTACACTTGTTTCACTAGATTGAAGCATCACCCTTAATTTCCTAGCTAAACTGATGCAATCATGTAATTGGTCTTTCGCAGTGGAGAGTGTGTGGCCCATTTCTTTTGCTCGTTCTAATGCACTGAGAAAGAAAAAACATGGAATGAGGATTTGGGTTGATTGCATGTACCTCCCCCAAGGTTTGGTCAAATGAAAAAAATTCCCTCAAGGTTTCTGCATGTTGGAAAAATGCCCTTTGACTAGCCAGATTTTTCAGTGAAAGATTATAGATTATGATTGATGGAGTATAATTCCAAGTGCAAGAGCTAATTAACGATCAATTTGTTATGAGCAGAAGAGTAGATAATTTGGCAGCGTAAGACAGTATTATTATTCAATAGGCAATCCGTTTTAGGTTATTTACAAGGACTTTTTATAGGCATAGGTCTACAGTACAACTAGGAGACATAACTGACATATTTAATAGCTTTAATCATAATAGTACTCGAGTAACGTCCCACTCATTACTTTTGTACTTAATGCCTCCTTAATGCCTACGTCTCTCCAGGTATTTCGTGCCACCACCAATTAGTCATCCGTTATAAATGAAATGCCACGTAAGCCCTAGGGAAAGTACAGCCTCAACGAGACTCCGGACGGGCCTGAGGCCTTCTGTCCAGGTTGGCCCTGGCATGGTTAATTCCGAATGGGCTTTGATTTCCCTGTTCAGGCTTGTTTGGCTTATTCATTAATCCTTTATTCTTGGGCTGATCCTTGTTCCTTTTTCGGATTGGATTGGAGCTGATTTATTGGGCTATGGGTCGAGCCCATAGTACCATCAATGATGATACATTAACATGAGTTGTGCATGTTCAAATTTAAAGCACTCTATCGGCTAAAATATATAAAGCTTTCTCTTAAAAGAAAAAGAAGAACGTTCAAGAAAAATAGTGAGGGTAGTTTAATCGTTACAAAAACTTATTTCCTATTAATATCAATATAATTTATCACTTTTCAGTGTCAATTCCAAAATATCTGGACTCTCAAGGGGCTTTTACGTAATTTTCTCAAATATTTTGGATCATTTGGGAATTTGATCAAACCTTGGGAGATGCAGTTGCAATCAATCATAAGAATGAAACAAAACCTGATTTAAGCTACACAAAAGAAATACAAACCTTGGCAGCAGTTCAGCATCAGAGGAAGCGTCTCCAATTGCTAACTGACTGTCTCTAGAATGTTTCATTAACGAGTCATACAAAGAACTATTACTCTTTTTTGCTTTTGCAATGGTTGCATAAGCTCTTGCCATTATGATCTGGTCACGCATAAGTTTCAGGATAGAGCCAGAGTTGGGATTTTCATATTCTTTCCTCCGTATATTGAATTTACCATTAATTGTTGTATCCAGCTTTTGGGCTCGTTCAATGGCAGCATTTTGCATTTGGTTGTCTGATTCTTTGTCCTGCCGAATTAGATCTGCAGCCCGTTGTTCCCTTCTTCTCTGCCGTGTTAACTTTAAGTATACAAAAAAAGACATTAATTAAGGAGGGAAAATGAGCGGTGGAGCATGCATACAATAGGGAATCGGGTCATCTGCCACTGGGTGCTCTCAGCCATCCGATCTCGAGTGGTGGAGCACTAGGGTCGTATTCATCTGATGGCCTTTGATCCCTACGCCAAAAATCCATACAAAGAAACCTTTCTAACGCAATAGTACAACAAATTAAAACATCACACCTTGCGCTTGAGTTTCATTGGATGCACCATATATGGTTGCTGATGTGGCATAATATCAGCACACTGGCTCACATCTTCTTTAGTATGATGATTACTATACTTAGAATTAGTCCCAAGTTGAAGTGGATCCTCCGATCCCTGATTATGCAGTGCATGCAAAATGTTCTAGTCACTATCAGGGAATTACAAAAGAGAGCATAGAACAGTTACAAAATTGGCATATGAAGAAGAAACACCTTAGAACTCTCGTTTCCATCAATATTCACCTCAGTGGGACTTTTCCAGACCCAAAACTTGGAAAGGTTCTCAGACTTCACACGAGTGGCTCTAACAGCACCAAGAGCATCACTATATGTTACAATTATGTCAATAACCTACATCAATAGAGAAAGATAATTACAATCACTATAATAGTACAATCATCACCAAAATGAAGTAACTCAGTTTATACCTTATCATCTGGATGAGCCTCAGATCCTGTACTACTTAGCATCTGCAAAGTCATTTCTTCATACTTAAAGAGAGGATAGGAATAAGAAAGCAAAAATGTAGATGAGGAGTTCTAATACCTTTCTATCAATGCACTCTGAGCAAGCATACAGGGACACAGGATTTCTGAGCTTTGTTTGACTGAAACGTGAGGGATACCATTAGTATATTGGTTCAATAAATCTAAAAGCAGAAATACTTGAGTCTGAAATTCAAGTTTGTCATGTTCTGTGGCGATCTTACTCTGCTGATACATCCGATACTTTAGAGCTGACAAGTGCAATATGTACCATTACCTGGAAAGGAAACAGTTAAGCTTTACCAAGGCATTAATAATGGAATTGCCCATTTTTGCATTTAAACAACAAAACTTAGCAATACAATGGATAGCAAACCGGAGAATCTACTGAGATCCACAAAATCCAAAAAATGTAAATGCTGATATACAAGAGAAAAGAAACTACAAAAGCGTTGCTATTTAGGAGTAGCATGCTTAAAAGCTATCGTCTCAAAGCATCCGCCATGGATTATGATACTGCTGTGAACCGCCGCAATTGATCACAATTTGAACGACTTGTAAAGGGGGATCAAGTCATCGTCGTTACCGTACAGAATAAATAAACTTTCGTAAAACAGCATAGGAGTCGCCGTGTTACAATCGCGTCCGGATGACGGGAAAAGGCCGGCAGTCGACCGGTATCTCCCCTCGCTTTTCTGTTGGCTTCTATCATCACCCAGCCGCCAGTCATCCAACCCAATGCCTGCCACACACACAGCCCAAGCCGTGAACGATTGATTTTTTAATCACGAATTTGGAGGATTTCGTAACTCTCAAAATAAGATTTCAACACGTATCAAATGCGTGTCTAAATACGGACTTATCATATTCCCCCACACTTAAGCTTTTGCTTGTCCTCAAGCAAATCGAACAACGAGACTTACGATAATCACCACACGAAGGCGTTTGCAAATGCCGAAGTACGCGAAGTTCATGAAGGAGCTGCTTACTAACAAGAGGAAGCTGGAAGCAGCATCAACTGTGAGGCGTAACGTGGTTTGCTCAACTGTGATTAGGAGGGATCTACCAGAGAAGCTTAATGATCCAGGTTCTTTCACTGCCTTACTTAATAGGAGATCTTACTTTTGATAGAGCCTTAGCTGATTTGGGTGCAAGAATTAACTTGATGCCATATGCTTTGTATGAGAAGCTTGCACTCAGTCCACTGAAATCAACACGTATGTGCATACAGTTGGCTGATCGTTCAGTCAAATATCCTAAAGGGATTGTTGAAGACGTGTTGGTTAAAGTGGACAAGTTTATTATTCCTGTAGATTTCGTTATTCTGGACATGGATCAGGATCGTGAGGTACCTATAATTTTGGGAAGACCATTCTTGGCAACCGCCCGAGCACTTATTGATGTTGGGGACGGTAAGCTTGTCCTCCGCGTTGGGGATGAGACCGCCACCTTTGATACGTCCAAAATAATGAAGAGGCCCTGTTAGGATAGTAGAGAGTGTTTTTATTTGAATGACATAGATTCTATGGTGGAGGATTTCACCCCTGACATGCTTTCTAATGAAGCCCTTTTTGACCTTTTGTTGGAGGATAGTGTGTCAGCAGAGGATCTTGAGCCCCTCCCTAGTTTTGATTATCTTATGATTAGTGGAGATGAGGATTCAAGTGATGCTAGTTCTGTGCAGGGGACAGAAGATGATTTAGATAAGGTGGAGAAGGAAAATTTTCAATCTGATTCTTTTTTGTTAGTCTTTCTCCATTAAATCTAAAGTCTCTTCCATTCCACCTTGAGTATGATTTTATTGATAATAGTACTGACCCCCCTGTTATTCTTACACCCGATCTTGAGTCATCCCAAAATTTAGCATGTTTTAGTTTACTTAGTGAACAAAGGGAAGCTCTAGCCCGGAAAATTTTTGACATGAAAGGGAGATGTCCATTCTTTGACCCATTCTTTGCTAAAGGGCCCGATAAAGGTCACGGTCCATTCTTTTGCTTTACGGGTGACCCTCAGATGCGTAATTGTTTTCATGAATTTAAGGTCTTACGCCATCTCAGGGCATTTGTTGACAGGAGGTTTGATTTGTGGAAGACTAATTTTTTGAGCGGGAGTGTCTTTGACTGAGTTTTTGATGAGGTGGTTGCGTCGGGCAAACGACGTTAAAAATAGCGCTTTGGGAGGCAACCCAAGCTTATTTCTGCACTTTTGTTTTTGTTTGTTTGTTTTCAAGAAACCCCCGAAAAAAAAACCGGGTGTTTTCTATTTTTCGTTTTGTGTGTTTTGTGTGTTTTGTTTTTGCAGCTCAGGGTCTTGCTTTGGCGATGATGTGTCGAGGATTACTTGACTCAGTTTAGTTCTGCACCGACCAACGCCTTACGGAAGTTTCTGCAACTTTTATAATCGCCTGTTTTGTAAATAATTAACTTAAGTTGAGCACGCGTGACCCTTTCCCCTTTACCACCTTGTGTGTGCATAGTGCATTTTTTGCCATCGAGGGCGATGCCAAAGTTTAAGTGTGAGGGAGTGAATTGGGCATTCGGGCAGTAGTTGTTACATGTGATTTTTAGAGTTAGCATGCGCAAGTGTTAGTTGTATATTCATAGAAAATTCATGTCAAAATTTTTGAAATTTTTTCTTTAAACTGTGTCGTTGTGAGCTGGCTAACGTTTTGACTATGCTTTTAGGACATCCTTGAAGTGTTTAGGCTTAAATTGCTTGCACTATAATCTAGTTGTTGAGAGGATGAAGACATTAGTCACCCATCGAATTATTTCATAAAATCATCCATCCCACCTGAATAAGTCCTTCAGGAGAAACCACTTTGAGCCTGACCGTTTATTGTTTACCCAATTAATTGAGCTCCATAGCCAAATGGCTTGTGTTTCCTTACCCGTGAATTTTTCTGACAAAGTCTTTAGGGAATTTGTTTAGGCCTGTGTTTAGGGAACTAGGGGATTAATTTGCTAAGTTTAGGGAATTTTGGTAGGAGCCATTTTTGGCACTGTTCCTATGCCCCAAATGGGGTAAGAGCAATCACTTTTTAGGAATTTGATATTTTCGAGAATTGCATTGTAGGCATGGATTTACTTTGATCAATTGAACTTTAATTGCTATTTTTCCTTGGTGAGGCTGAGATTAGAATGGGGTAACGTCTAGTAAAAATCTGAAAATTAATTAATAACTAGACCTCTTACCTTGCAAAAAAGAGAATGGGAGCCCCGGTCAAAAAGCGTAAGATGAGACTCGGGTATCTTTCGAAAGAAGCGGCGTTCTCGTGCCAACATGACAAGGAAAACTGAACCTAATTAAATGAACTTGGAGGCTATTGCAAAAATTAGCTTTAGTCCTTCGCGTACTTCAAGTATACGTCAAAGCACAAATGTGCTGCGACGGTTTAGCTTAGTTGTACACCATGTCTCCTCTTTGCATAGGTTTAAATGATCGTTCCTAAATTGTGGCCTACTAAGTTCTTTGATCCTAATAATAGCCCCGAAATTCCTGAATGCATTGAGTCTTTGTAAGGATGTTCCAAACTCTCAAGAAAGGGACTGTTTATTACCACCCACCATTCACCACCGTCTTCATAAGTCCTTCTGATCACTAGCTAGTTTATTAGTGTATGCTGTCATTCCTTTGAGGATGTTGTGAATAATTTTGTCGAATATTTTAGCTAGAGTACAAAGATGTAGTTTAGGGAGGAATTTTCTTGGTATAGTCTGTCTGTTCTGTGAATATCCCTTTAACTAAATATGCATGCTAATTGTTTTAATTCCATGTGGTGATTATCGTAAGTCTCGTTGTTCAGTTTGCTTGAGGACAAGCAAATGCTTAAGTGTGGGGGAATCTGATAAGTCCGTATTTAGACACGCATTTGATGTGTGTTGATATCGGCTTTTGATGGTTTTCTTATCTTTAAGGTGTCACAAGTTTCAATTTTAGCTCAAGTTATGTTTATCTGGCGTTGGTTCGAGTTTTGTGTCATTTGGAGTCAAAATAAAAAATTTAGAGTCCGGCGCCGGCATTTGAGGAGCAATCGTGATGATTCGAGAAACACTCGAGAGTGGATTGAGATCTTTGGAGGTCACCGGGAGGTGTACGATGAAGATTTGATGGTAAGAGAGCTCTAGGATTGGCTTCGGGATCAAAAGAAGATGAATGAAGCTTGAAAACGACGATCAGGATGACCTTCTGTCAATCGTTCAAGCATATCGCTTTGTGGAAACATCCAAAGAACACAATTCAAATTCCGCATGAAAGCTAACTTCAAGTTCTACAAATCATATGAAGACATCTTTGCGAGAATCGGAGAGGAAGAAGATAGAAACAGACGATGAAGTCAGATGATCCCTGCTGCGATTTCAGAATAAGACCTTCCACTATTTTAATCATATCTCTTGATTGGATCATCCAAATCCACTTCCGCAAGTTGTGGTGGATATAGGACTGCATTATCTACAACTTTCATGAAGGAAGTTTTGTACAATTCAAAAGTTTGACGCACGCCGTGCGTAGGGGAACGCACAACTGTGCGTCTGAGGCGAGAAAAGCAAGGAAGACATTGCCAGCCACGCACGGCCGTGCGTGGGGGGGACGCACTCCGTGCGTAGCCCCGGGTTACGCGAAATTGAATCCCAAACCGGCCCGAATTCATATTTTTTCCCCTTTTTCTATAAATAAGGCCTGCCTAACCCTTTTTAAGGGTTATGAACATTACGGAGAGGCCTATGGACGAATTTACTTGCATTTTTTTCATTGTTTACTCCAAGACCCTAGGATTATTTATAAGTTCATCTTTTTAATTAATGACAATTATTTCTGTGGGGTTTGTCCTCAAATAATACTAATTAAAATCATTTGGACAAAAATAGAGACTTTTCTTTTAAGTTCAAAAAATAAGACTAAATAATACTTAAGGGATTGTTACACCCTTACTAAGCCCAAACCCACTGGCCTGCTACAGTAACCCGTCACAGTGACCAATGTTACAGTTACCAATGACATAGTTACAAAATTCATCCAGTGACCAAAAATTAATACGTCCCACCAATGACCTGCATCACAACGACCAAATGTGCAATGACTATTGTCCAGTGACCAATTGTCACCCGTCCCTTCGCCACCAGTGACCACTCTTTTGCCGCCGCCAGTGAGCAGTCCGCACTGCCGCTAGTGACTTGTCCCCGTGCCCGCCAGTGACCAATCTTGTGCTGCCGCCAGTGACCGGCCCCCATCCGCCGCCAGTGACTGGTCCTACGCCGCCACCAGTGACCAGTCCTCCGTCGCCGTCCCCGCCCAGTTATAAACCACCCAAACACCTGCTTGCATCCCCTTCTCGAACTGTACCCGCCCCCTACCCCACAGCCCTGACATATCCCCGTCACAATGAATTCCTAACCAGCCCAGCCCTAGCCGCCACAGCCATTGCCAAATCGTAGCTCCGTCGCAATCGCCGACCAGCCCTAACCGCCGCCACTGCCTCGAGCTTCGTCGCAGTCCCCAACCACAGACCTAGCCGCCTCCACAGATCTTAATCGTAATCGCTTCCATCGTCGCCGATCTGAAGTTGTAGTCATCTTCTACGTCTGAGCCTCGTTCTCGTCACCTCTAATCGAAAAGAAATTAAAGAAGGTGAAGAGCAGAGAGAGATGACCTAGAGGCGGAGAGCACGACCTAGAATAGAGGCGGAGGCGGAGGCGGAGAGCACAACTTGGAAGCGGCGGCGGCGACTAGGTAAGAGTGACCGCCGATGGAAAACGATGGATGCAGCGAAGTGGTTTGTTGTCT